GGGAATAACCTTAATAGAGTTATGATGGAAAGGGACCTTGGTGTAATAGTTGATCAGTTTCTAAAACCATCCAAGCAGTGTGCTGTTGCTAGTGGTAGGGCAAATAGGATTTTAGGTTGTATCTAAAGAGGTTATACTTTCAGTGTACAGGTCACTGGTTAGACCACATTTTGAATATTGTGTTCAGTCTTGGGCTCCTTACCTTAGGAAAGGGTTCAGAGAAGGGTGCCTGGGATGGAGGGGTTATCATACGAGGAGAGGCTGAAATCTCTCAAATTGTTTTTTTTTGAAAAAAGAAGAGTTGGGGGGGTATTTGATTGGGGTGTTTAAGATTGTAAAGGGAATTGATAGTGTTGATGCATCATCTTTTTTTTATATTTAACAATGAGAATAGTAGGACTAGGGACCATAAATATAAATTTTGGCAAGATAGGAGTCATCTTCAGCTAAGACGGTTTAATTTTTCTAACAGGGTGGTTGGCCTTTGGAAGGGGTTGTCTTCAGATGTTGCAGAGGCAGTAAATTTAAGTGAGTTTAAGAAAAAGCTTGATAAGTATATGAATGAAAAGGGCTTGCTTAAAGATTTTTATTTTTTTAATCATTTTAGTTTAGAGGATGGAACAGCTGTGATGGACCAATAGGTCCCATGTTGTCCAAAATGTTATGTTATCTTAGGACATGAAAAGTTGCTTCCCTTGTAAAAAATGCAAAAAACATCTATAATACTGCAAAATGTAAAACTGAAAATTTGAGTTTATCTCCCCATGGAACCAACAATTCTTTATGCCAAATTTGGTGAAGATCCATCAATAGGGGGCGAAGTAATGATAAAAAAAATGCAAAACTGATACTTTAATTTGTATAGACTATTGATGTAACATGCTCAGTAATATGACATTTTTGAAATGTACTGTCTTATGTATTTGTAAGTGAGAAACTAAGCCAGTGTTTTAATGTTTAAATTGTAAAATTGGATATTAATCATTAGCAAATTAAGACTAACAAAAAGAGTTTTAGCAAATTTGATCTTGATCTAAGTTGTATTTCATGAAATCATGATTTAGTGGCATTCTGTGAACAAGTCTCAGCTTATTCAGCAAAACTGTTTTGTTGATAGAACAGTACAATTCAGCCAATACAAATGAACTTTTATTGCCCAATTTTGTTAATAAAGAATAGAGATATGACATCAGCTCACTAAGAGCCCCTTTAGACTGTTTGGGAACGGTTGTTTATAGCTTTCATGACTGATGTTAGTTACAAGTCAAAGAAGGATGTTATCTCCATATAAGACAATTAGTTAGGCATTACTTGGAATACTGTATAAATGTTTGGTATAAGTATTATCTAAAAAATACTATACAGTTATTTGTATTGTTTTTATAAAAGATAATTAATTTGAGAGGTAACTGGTGTATCTGAGCCACACACATCTCTATCATCTGCTGTCTGATAGTGACTTTTTACTGTTATTAGAAGTTATGGTTTAAATGTCAAAAGCTATTAAGCCATTAGGGTTTAACTTTTATTATTCCTGAACCAATTATGAGGAATATAGAGAAAATAATATGCAGTTTTTATGATTTCTATTTCATTATTATCTCCAATGAGCAACCACTGGCAATATTGCATTGCAGAGGCATAATGGTCTGAGTCTAGCTGGCTGGCCGACATTCTAATAGCTTTGGCAAACAACCAAACAAGTAGAAATTGTGGTCTCACTATCCTTATACTTAGCCCGGTATGTCATGCAGCTCAAATAGCAAGTTTAATTCAGGATTGTGTTAATTATATTAACCTTCTGTACTATTTTCCAATATAAATGATTGAAATGCATGTTTAACGTGTATGTTGCATATCTTCTTGATGAACTATGTACTGGCAATGTTTTTATAGTGCTTTCTGAAGTTTTCTGTCATTAATTTTGAGTCCTGATTAGAAAAGGTTCAAGAAGGACTACTTGAATGATTCCTAAGGTTGTCGTAAGGTCAAGGTCTCTTTCTCTTATAAAAAGGACAAGATAACCTTATTGAAGTTTACAAGATTGCTCGGGGGTTGATATGATGAAGACCTCAGAGTTTTTGTGCTGTATTCTAAATACAAAGAAGAGGCATAAGTTTAAGATATTGAAAAGTTAGACTAGGCTCAAGTTAAGAATCTTATTTTTCTAATAGGGTGATAAACGTACTGAATGAGTTATCATTGGTACTAGTGAAAAACAGATTTTTATAGGAGTTTCAGAGGGAAATTGATGATTTCCTAAAAAATAAATGATGGACATGCAGGGACTGCTTTGAAGATCTAAATGTTCCTTTGTGTTTTGTATGTTATGCTTACTTTTTATAATTAGTTTTGAGATATAATTCAAAACCTGAAAAAGTATGATACTTGCAAAAAAAAATACAAGTTTTGACTTGTAGTTTGTTGATGAGTTACAGATGGCTCTTTAATAATCAAAGTCTAATATAACATTGATACTAGTAAGTTGATCTTAGTCTATGGGATTCGGTATAACAAAATCTATAGATAGGGTTCTATTTATTTGACAGAAAGACAAAGATGCTGAAAATGTAGCTAAATGGAAGCATTGTGCTATCACCCAAGAAGAACTTCGAGCTCCTATTGTATCATGTGAACTTGGAAGGTGAGCCTGAACACAATAAAAACAGGAGAGTTTCATGTGTTTTAACTTTGACTTGCTATTGTGTCACTAAAAACTAGAGAGTTTTGTATGTATATTAAAGCACCATTCATTTGTCTTAAAGAACTTTTTCAAATAATGTGGACAATATTTTAATATTATTTAGGTCATTATTAGCTCTTACATATAATATTACTTAGGTCATTATTAGCTCTTACATATAATATTACTTAGGTCATTATTAGCTCTTACATATAATATTATTTAGGTCATTATTAGCTCTTACATATAATATTATTTGGTCATTATTAGCTCTTACATATAATATTACTTAGGTCATTATTAGCTCTTACATATAATATTACTTAGGTCATTATTAGCTCTTACATATAATATTACTTAGGTCATTATTAGCTCTTACATATAATATTACTTAGGTCATTATTAGCTCTTACATATAATATTATTTAGGTCATTATTAGCTCTTACATATAATATTATTTAGGTCATTATTAGCTCTTACATACATTATTATTATGGTAATTAAAGTGTGGTAAGGAATTTGTTTATTGGAAACATTAACAAAAATATTTGTATTTCTTCAGATTATATAATAAAGAGTCCGTTTTGGAGTTTCTTCTGAATCGAGATGAAGCTTTGCATTTGGCTAGCCACATAAGAAGTCTCAAAGTTAGTATGATTATTGTGTGTTTGAGAAATTCACAGCTGGCATGTGGGACCATAAAAAGAAATTTTGAAATACCTGAATTAAGAATGAATATGTGCTGGACTGCTGTAAAACATAATTATTAATATATTACCTAGAAATTAAGTATTTAGAAAAAAAGGATCACTAAAGAATAAAAAGTTTCAATATAGTATAAACACTAAAAAAAAACCAAAAACTTGACCTTTATTGTTTAATTATCAAGATGCTAGGATGACATCAAATTTTTGATGAAATGATCAAATTACCTTGAAAAATACACAACATTAAAAAGATACTTCCATGTTTAATGTTGAAAAACAAAACCCGTTACCCATCTTGTAAACTTAATAAAGTTTACATAATTAGATTTCCTTTGCTTTTATCGAATAAACACCAAAATCAAATAATTTACTTTAGACCTTATCTAGTTGTATTAACTAAAAACTAGCATTGAAGATTCAGCTATAACAAAAATCATACTTTTGATTTACCCAATGTATATTTCAAGTGGTTTTCCACAGAAAATTACTACAGAAAATAAGCGTGAGGAGTATAATATAAACTGTTACTTTAAGTCCTTTGAAACTTTGTGATCAATGCTAACAATACTACACATTTTATTTTACACTTTGCAACCTTTATTTTTGTTATACTTTGATAACTTGTCTTACAACCTAGAGGATGAAGTATAATTTTACAGAAAATGACAGATAAAATATAAAGCATTACTGAAAAGTGTTTGATATTTAATTATGAGGCATTTTTTTATTTATTTATTATTATTATAAAAGTAAAAAAAATAAACTTCTTAGGTAAGATAAGGAAAAAAAATCTTCATTGGGTATACTAGCAAGTAGCTTGTGCATTACACTATTTGAAAAGGTAATGGGAGCTGCATGAGCGCCGTATAATTTTCAACTTGTGTTGAGATGTTTTTAGTCAGACATGGTTCAGAGATCAATAAAACAAAACATTAATAAATTTAAGTAGATGTATACTGTTACAAGAAAACACATGAAATGTATTTAGGAGGTTTTAGTGATTATACAATGACATGTGATTTTTTTAAATAAAGAGAAGTATTTTTAACCTTCACATGAAACCAACGTTGCATTTGGACTAGAAAAAACAACTCGATATATTCACAAACAAATCTTTTAGTTTATTAAAAAAATCTGATTTTTTTATATGTAAAAGACCTGTAATGTTTACTGAAAGACTGCCAAATTTTGTGAAGATACATATACTATATTGAAAGTTAGAAGTACCAAAATTATAATGACTTTAAACGAGTACAAAGTGGTTGTGTGGTCAGTCAATTCAACTGAGTCCATGTGGAATGAGTTAATGATACAGCGTAATCAATATCTTAAAATTAAAACTACAAATAGTTCTATCTCACAGTAAAATACTGAATTTTGATCAATCAAACAAAAGCTTAACCAAGAAAGTTCCACAATTAACTCAGAAGAAAAAAATAGGTTCAGTATACCACTTCCCTGATAGTCGGAAAGAAAAAAAACAAACTTTGTACCTTTTCTATTTGCCGAGATATCTCAATATTTAGCGAATCCACCATATCGGCTCTGACCACCACTTCATCATTTGAGAAAACCTATTTATCTACACCTACTTTTGTATACCAATAACTTCATAATCAATCAAAAGCTCTACATTCTTTCTACATAAATTTGTCACTCTTCCCAAGTTATTTACGAGAGAAAAGCTCTTACATCGTTGGAGAGTTTGAAGTATTACGATCAAGGCTATTTACTGAACAGAAAATTAGATTTTTTTAGACCCAAATACAATTTAGTTAGGAATTTTTGGGGTATCAGTATAGTAATTTATAATTTGTTGCTATTCCAAAATGCATATATGAAGTCCACAAAAATTATTATTTTTTCCATCTCCATATGTGAATTTGGACAAGTACAAACAAAGACTTCGAAACACTTCAGAAACAATATAAGAAACACTTTTACACCTATACTAACACTAAATCCCAACCACCCAGGAGGTTAACTAACATCTAAATACTTAATAAGTTTATTAGATCGGATAACACTTTCTACAGAACCATATCATAAATATTTTCTTTCACTTTTATAAAATACTTTAGACAATTCTTGTTGCAACCACTTTGTTTTCAGTGCCGTGATTCGAATAGACTCTGTAGGAAACATCAGCTTATCGACTTATTGGATCAGCCCAGACATTCTACAAAGTCACAGACATTTTATAATACTTTAGACAATTGTCATTGTAACCATTCTGCTGTCAACAAGTTGATAAATCCTACCCCACTGCATTTTCAAAGCAGGGAAAGTTCTGGGAATTGCACCACCTGAGCTTAGTTGATATTGATGGTGTCAAACTAAGTAAGGAGCAGCGATTCATTGCTTTATATTCAGCAGGTTTCTACTTCAACCACTAAAAGTAGAATAAACATAGGAAATAGGCATGGAAAGATAAGAAGAAACTATCAAGAATTTTACTTGGCAATCCATACTGATAAAAGACAGACAGTACGATTCATTTTGTTTCGTCTAGTTTCCAAGTCAGCTCCTAACAATAGATTATATAGTACGACCAGTCTACATTTATAGTAGTCTCAACTAGGCCGTAGAATATGGCTCGTCAATTTTCTACGTAAAAAGTACTCAGTTAACAGTACAGTATATTACCATAATGATTCCAACATCTAAAATCTCACCATTTTGTGTACACACTTAACACTATGGACACGAGTAGAGGTCAGAGGGCATGTCATTACGTTTGTAGACTTATATTCAAACTGTTATTTAACTATTATTTTATAAATGTGTGTCAATAAGTTGGAATCAAATTATATATTATAATTCAAATTTTAGTATTATACATTAGTTAGTTTCTTAATTTGAAAATAGAAATTAAAAGAAGAGGCTAAACATTGATTTTTGTGTGTCACGTGGTACGTTTCCTTCTGGATTTGGTCGGATTACATTTTATGACACCCACAGTTTCTTATGAAATAGAAATTAAAATTTCCTATATTTTCAAGCTAGAATATAAAATAATTATTGTTTTATTCCTTTTTGAACCACGTCTAGCTAATAATCCTGCCACACAAGTTGTAAATCACACAATGAAAATGTAACTCACATTATCCTATCAAATGATGTAAAACACAAGCTACTTGTGAGCATACCCCTGAAGATTTATTATTATTCTTTATCTTGCCAGTTATAACCTAATAAGTTTCTAATTTTAAAAATTTAGTTATTTTATAATAATAAATAAAGAACACACATGAAAAACAAGAAATATAATACCTATGTGGGTCTTCTTTTTCTTTGCTGTCAACTGCTGATGAAAGTTAAGCCTATTTTTTTATACTAACGGTATTACTACATTAAATCCTTTTTGTTTAATTCAATACTGCACATAAAAACACAGAATAACACCATGTAAAAAGCAGACAATTTCATATAACTATCATAAATTTTCTGGCTTACATACTATGCAATACGAGCTGTTAAAAATTCAGCTAAACTTTTTGAAAAAACTTTGAACTAGAAGCAAAATAGACAACTATCTGTATAAAAACATCATTTGAGGGATTAAAACTCTGGCTTTCTATTAGTTATAAATAATATAGTATTAAACATCAGGAAGAACTATTGGCAATTTGCGAAAGAGAGGGTGTAACAAGTGAGCATAGCAAGAGAGATCTGAGTTTATGGTTTATGGCTTTGTAACCAATCAGGATTGAAGGCTATAAAATTTATGCTTTGTATAGGTTATAATTATATTATAATTAATAATTTTCATTAAATTCTCAACTTCTTGGAGGGGTGGTAAATAAATTAGAGAAGAGAGGAGACCTAGAGAGCAAATATGACAATTTTAATATTGGTGGAGATTGAGGATTTTTTTAATATTTCTTTATAAAATTAAGAACTTAATACTTATATAGAATTAAAATCTGATTTATTAGCTGTGTTTTGATATCAAGATTATTTTAGTAGTTTAATTAAACTTTGAATGTAACTCTGTAAAACATTGTGATGTGCATACTTTGATCTTCCCAATGCAAAAGGGTTAATCAGTTGTTTATTTCTATTCACCCTTAAAACTTACCAGGAGTGTAGAATTTGAGGTGAAGGGGACATATTGTTCAAGGGATAAAATGCCAAAAAAATCTACTTCCCTCCCTCCTCATCCCACAAAACTTGAAAACATACAACTTATATACAACTTTGCTTCTATTTGATATTGAACTGTGAAAAATAAAATTCTTCAATTCACAAATTGAGAAACAAGATAAAATGCTTGATGGCTGTAAGCAGCCCCCATCAAACAGTCCACAGGAGCTGGTAGTGAGCTGATATCATACCTCCATTCATCTGTATTGACTGACTTGTACTACTGTTCTATCAACAAAACAGTTTTGTTGGCTAAACTGATACATGTTCACAGAGTGCCACTAAACTATGATGACACCTGATGAATATGGTAGCCTTGTGTCAAGCATATAGTAGTTCATGAAATGCAATATAGGTCACAATCAAACTCGCTAAAATTCTTCTTGCTAATCTAAATTTACTAATGATTTATACCCAATTTTGTAGTTTAAACTTTAAAACATTGGCTTAATTTTTCAGTTACAAATATTTGATTGCTAAGTACAACAATATATTTTTAAAATGCTAGTCTAAGCCAATTCGAATTAAAGTATCATGGAGCCAACACGTACACATCAAGTTAACTGTGAGCTTGTCTGTGTATACAAACAGCTGATTGCATGTCCAAAGTCATGACAAATAATAACAGAATCTGAATAAAAAACTGTTTATTTCTTGGTTAGGATAAAAGGACCAGCAGAGAGTTCATACTTCACAAGAGATCTAACAAGCCCTCATAAAACTCATTTTGTGGGTGCTTTTCAGTCAGCATAATGGCCCCATCGAATGTGAAGGACTAATAAACTCGATAAATTCATATCTGTAAAGTTTATTTATCATAATACCTATAATTAAATGTGTTACTTTGCAGACAAGGCACTAAAGTACTGTAGGCAAACACAGTCTTTTAAAAGTAAAATGAATACACTTAAATACATTTTTAAAATGTGTCTGATTCACATGATACGAAATACTAAAACATGGATCTGTTTTTGCTATATTCTCTATTTGTTACCGTCTGTTTAGAATTTTTTGCAATGTAAAATGGATAAACCAGATGTATGTGAATATTAATAACCATATTTGAGTTATATATGTATACAAAACACTACATGCCAAATTATATATATGTATATGAAAAGCTCAAATACAAAACACTGTATATCCACTTTTAATTTTGAAAAATCGGCTTTTTTTAATATATGAAAACCTAAAATTATTTAGTTCAAATTTGCAAAATCTATTTTATATTTGAACAAAACACTATATTCACTGGCCCTTTTTTGTAAAAATGTTGTATATCACACTCACTATCTAACCTCTTCTTATATATTTGTTTATGCATTTTTACTGTGTTTAACAGTTATTCATTTCAATTTTATGGGTCAATATGTAGAATACCACACACACACATGCTAAAATTATGTTAAAAACTTGTAGATATGTAAAACTGTAAAACTTTTTATTAAGCTATATATTCTTCCTAGAGCTGGCAGTCAAACTTTACTGGACTCTGCACCTACTATAGACAAAGCAATGTAATAACTTAGTTAGGTGGATGTGAGATTGAGGGTTTGTCAATTAAAGGGATATTTATATTTCTGTATGCAGTTTTCATTGGAGGTTTAGAGGTACGCGTCATTAAGTGGTCATTTTATACATGCAAGACTTCTGCACTTCAGAATTTTCAGTTACTTGCAAGGATCCCTTGTGTTTTTATAGCAATAGAACGAATGATGTGAAAAAATATTTGTCCAATGGTCAAACTTTTAAGGGCAAAACATGTTGGGGCCTTAGGCAACATGAATTCAACACCTGTGGAACTAAATTAAGTATCAATAGATGTATACTGTTACAATTGTAAAGATATTTAGGATAAACAGTTGAGGTTTCTTGTTACAATTTGAAGTTATTCCAGAAAGAAAAAAGATAACATAGAATTATTTCCTAATTTTTCTCTGGTGGTTATGAGGTCTGTCAAATTGCCTGATCCTTTATAGAGTTAGAGTATAGAAAATAACAGACTAAATATAAAGTTTTCTTGAAAAAAACCAACAAACATTTAATATTCATTTAGGAGGTTTTTAGGGATTAAGCAAATAAACATGTATAGATTATAACCTAACCTGTATTTTCCATTCATCTCAAGGCCAACAACAGGGCATATGTACTGTGAAGCTTGCAAATCAATGTACTGATCTCCTTTCTCAGCTCCTCTCTGAATGTAGCCACTGTTCTCTGTAAGGTTCAGTTCCCTGATGTCCTGAGAAAATACAAAACAACACTTTTATCAACTCTAGAAGTCATACAGTAACTAGAGTAATGAGCACTAATCCTCAAGTAAAATCCTTCAAATATATTACCTAATGCATCAAAAAGACCCACAATATATAAAGATGTTTACAAATGAACATTGCAATAAAAAAAAAGACATTTAAAGTCCTTATGAGCCACTTATTGTTTTAAGCTAAATTTTATAGCTAAGCTGTACAAAAATGTTATTAGCTTAAACATGTTTTCTAGAAGAATTAAACATTTTGTGCTAGCTGCTAAGCTGAATGTAAAGAATTTCAGAGACAGAAAATCAATAGATTCAACAAAATCCAATTCTCTTCTGTTAAAGGTTTTCAATTCATGTATTGGTAGAAATTATAACTCTCATGATTTTCAAAGTTTATATGATAATATACATAAACATAATAATGAAAAATTTGCCAAGTTAATATAATAGTTAACCCTATTGCTTGTTTATTTTACATTACCCTGTAACCATGAAGGTATACATACTATGATTCTTAATACATCTTCACAAAATTTGGCAAGCTTTCAGTAAACATTAACAGTCTTTTATGGACAAAAAGTCAGAATTTTTAATTAAGTATTTTTCTGAAACTTTGTCCATAATCATGTGGTGTCAGAATGTTGACTGCTCTGAGTGAAAGTGTTTTTCATACTAAGACTAAAAATACTTTTCTTCATCTGAAAATTTTCAAATTTTAGAGTACATCCTAACCTGTACTTTCCATTACAGAAACATGTATAGAGTACATCCTAACTTGTACTTTCCATTACAGAAACATGTATAGAGTACATCCTAACTTGTACTTTCCATAACAGACATATGTATAGAGTACATCCTAACCTGTACTTTCCATAACAGACATATGTATAGAGTACAATCTAATGTATATTTTTCATTAGAAACACGTATACAGTACAACCTAACCTGTATTTTCCATTATGCGTATTACTGGGTACTTACATTGTATGTACTTAACATCACTTGTCATATTTTGTTCCAAAAATACAATTAGTGGATGAAATTGTTTGAAATATGACAACATTTTCACAAAAATATGTAGTTTCAGAAAAATAAAATATTTAATTTTGAATTTTTCTATTATTTCTACTAAAACTTTGTTCTCTAATGTAGTTTTTGCACTTGGACTCTGAATACTTCATGTTAAGTATAAAAATACTATACTTTATCCCAGAGTTTTCACATTTCACTAAATGAATATCAGAAGTATTTTTAAGGTAAATGTTTCTACTATATCACTATCTGTAGCTATTACCATCGATGTACAGTACAATGAAATGTTTGAAATTAAGATATAGAAATATATACTTACTTTATATCTCTTCATTGAATAATCTTAGAATGTCTTCTTGGGGTCATATGTGTAATTTCACATTTTACCTTTTCCCTTATAGTTTATTCTTAATGTTTTATTTTCCTCTGCTACTCTTTATTTTTGATAATTTACATCGACACATGTCAAGGGGTGCCTATGGGCAATAAAACCTTTTCATTCACAGACACACTTTAGCCTCCTGCAAACGTTTTTGCACCTGCATAGTTATGTAACCCTGACGGAGCAAGGCAAAGTTTAGAATAAGTTTAAAAATCATTAAACCTTTCAAATATGAATGTTAAAACACAAATACTACATAATTAACTAAAGAATAAAAGTAAAACCTAAATGCAATTTAACTATCAAACTAATATGTATAACGGGAGAAATAATAGTAACACTATGTGACATATGCAGAAAGGAACGTAAAGAGTGCACCAGTAGTCATAGTGTTACACAGATACATGTTTCTGTAATGGAAAGTACAGGTTAGGATGTACTCTATACATGTTTCTGTAATGGAAAGTACAGGTTAGGATGTACTCTATACATGTTTCTGT